TGCCACGATGCCAGATTTAAAGAATGGAAGAGCAGATTGGGAGGTATAACAAATTCCTCAGCTTCCTAAATCCCCAGGGCCTGAAACAGTGCTTGGCACATAGCAGGTGCTCAGTAAAAGCCACACAGTGATCGACGGAGCACATCGGGGGCTGGGAGAGATGTCGCCTCCGTGCCTTCACCTGACTCACTCCACGTGAAAGTACCTATCATTACACTTCCTGAAATGCTGCTTGGAGTCCTGAGAGATGATACGTCAGGCTGTGTGTCTGTACAGCCAGGACAGGGGCTATTCCTATCCCAGTCCTCACCTTTCCTTGGTAGCCACTGAGGCTGGAGCCGGGGTGGTGGCTGGAGTAGGCGTGGCGATGGGTTGAAGCTCCTCAGTGGCTTGCCTGTCGCTGACCATGTTCTGGGGGGTGAGGGCTGAGAAGAGGCCCGATGCATTGAAGTTGATGTCTGGAGACAGAAGGAGCAGGCCTCAACTTTCAGAGCCTTCGCCAGCCTCCCCACCTCAGCCAGGGTCAGGCCACTCTCCCTTCCCCTGAGAGGATCAGAACCATGTTCTGATTTCCCACTCCCATGTGAGCCTCGCAACAATCCCATGAAGCAGGCAGGATCATCCCCATTTTACAGACGAGAAACTGAGGCTTAGAATGGAGAGGCAATTTCCCTTGGCCTCAAGGTAAGTTCATCAGAGCTGGCAGAAGGAGGGCAGGGGGTGGCGTTCGCAAAGGCAGGGGCTTCACCTCCAGGGAAGAGGGTGTCTGCGCTCTGTATCAGAGCCTCGACCACACCCACCACCTGGATGGAAGACACCGAGGCTGCATCCAGCTGGGCCTGGTCCCTGGGCCAAAAGGGAGACAAAAGTGAGGCATCCACTTGGCAACTCTTTTTAGTGACTCAAACTCTCTGGACATGTGCTGGGCACTGGGGACATAACGATCAATCGCATTGAGTCCCTGTGCTCAAAAAGCTCACAAACCACTAACTGATGGCAAATGTGTTGCTCACACACATTTTCCCTTCCTGCACCCACAACAGACATCACTAGTCAATCAAGGACCCTCTTCCTCACTTCTTGGATCTAGACATCCTCTACTAAGCAATCCACTCAGCACATGAGATGACATCTTTTTGCCATCTGTGGCCAGTTAAATAATAATGATCCC